TATGGCACCTCCATGTAAGGATGGTGCTTTCGCGCATTGGAGGGATGAGTTTTTCGAGCAATTCAGGCTAGCCAAACCTGTTTTTCCATGCAGAGGGGGCGGGCGGGGTTGAGCCCTTCAGATACGTTCTGGTGCCCCATGGAGCCAAGGCTGGGGACAGCCAGCAATAAAATCTTGCCGCGACAGTACCCCAGTGAAGAAGACAAATGGCTCCAAAACTTGATTGAGTAGGGTCAACAGCGCTCCTTGGCTGATCTTTTGGTTTTCCGAATGGCTCCAGGGCGGGCTGGGGCGTTTTAGGTGCCTAGCCGGCAGCACTGGGAGGGTGTTGAATGTCATTTCAGCTGCCGGCTGCAAGGAGCGTGGGGGGGGGGGGCCTGATAACGAATGTCCAGGCCATTCTCACCCTAAAAAGACTCGGCAGCCCAGATCGAGGAGCTTCACCGGCCTTCTGATATAAATCCTCTTGTTCTGCCTCCCTGTCCCGCATCGTTCTGGTGGAAGGCATCTGCTCTCGTGGTCTTCGGTCCGCCCCAGATCGCTATGTGGGCCACTGTTCATTGTTCGCCTCTCGGTGTTCTCGAATGATGCCGCAGCCCTGGCCAGTCACAGGAAGACACCGAAAATGGAGCTTCAAGGGCTGACATCCTCCTCGATGCTGTCTGAGAACGTTCCAGAAGCCATGAACGGCACCACGCCAGTCATCCGAACGACCTGCCAAGTACCTGCTATGGCAGACACAGGCCTTGCCTTTCTACACTTTCCACTGGCGGGGGGGGTGGGGGGGTCAGAGTTACCGGCCAGGCAGCAGCACACGCCGTTGGACAACACATCGCAGTAGCAATTGCTCAGGGTGAGCAAAACGGCACCAGGCGTTCTGTTGCCTCCTTTAATCGGTTTTCGACTTGAGCAGAACCCGGACTGTTTCAGACTTCTAGTTCGCCTCAACGGGGCTGACGAGGGGGCTTAATACACGGCACAACTTGCCGACTGAGGTACGCTGGCTAGGTACCTGAGCTCCCCGAGTATGCCTACTTGGGGTCGCCAGGCAGCCGTGAGTCTAAGCCCCTGAGAAAGCCACCTTGGTTGCACGTCCGTTCGCAGTCTGTCGAGAAAGACCTTGTCAAGACCTAAGAGTATAAGTACCGACACCTGCACTTCTGTTAGCCACGATCAAAGATATAGAACGAGCAATTCGGTCGCAACAAGCAACATACCTCCAAGCCCACACACTCAAGCATTCTCGTCATCGTCCTTCCACCCTCCTCACCCAAAATGTCTGGCAGAAACAACAGCGCTTGCAGACAACAAGGGACCACTCAGGGTCCCAGTTCCAACGTTTCGAACGCCGGGATTTTTGAGGAGTGCGTCACCCAGCCACGGCATGCCGGTGTCAAAACACAGCGGAATATGCTAACCTGTTAGATCACCTGCAACCAACCAGCAGGGTGCAAATGGTGGCCAAGGCTATTCGCAAACTACCGTTTTCGGCCAGCGTTTGACTGATCGTGACATCGTGTACCAAACCACGAAAGAACAAGAGAGACAAGGAGGCTATCCTGGAGTTGCAGTGTTGCCTAAGCGTCCAGTTGAAACACAAGAGTACCGCCGTGCCGCCGCAATGTTCCCAAAGAAGTCCAAGGCGTCCAAGTCCAAGCTGTACTGAGAACATCGTGTCTCCGATGGCGATGACAGATCATGGTTGAGGTATGGATCACGACGCACCTTGCCTCTGATCACGGACTGACGAAGCCAGGCGCCTCCCTCTCGGCCAAGGTCACCGGACCTACCAACTCCTGTCCGACAATCCCTTTCGGGGTCGACCTAGGTCGTACCGACGTGGCACGGTGTGTTGTTGAGTCGATGCCTCTCTTGTTGTGTGCACCTTGATACGCCTAGACTAGAAGCTCGGTTTCGAATTGTTTGAATATTAAAGAAGACGTTCGCACGTACTCAAAGATTGTAGCATTGGCGACGGCATCTGCAACGTGGATAGAGGCAAGAGACGGCTAATGGGCGAGGTAGATTGTCAGTCGTGGTCATCGTCTTTGTTGTTCCTAGTGGTTGAGAGTCTTGTTTCATATTGGTTTCTTTCTCTTGTCATCGCATGTGTGGCTCCCCTCGAGGTTGTTCCAGTCGTTATGGGTGGATGGTGGAGTGTCTTTTCCTTTCCTTCTTTTGGTTATAGATAGTATAGCTTTTTGCAAAGGAAAACAACATTCATCTGTTGCGTACCGGAATACCCGTGTCTCGGACCTTTATATCAGGATGAGAGAAGTCAGTCGAGGTGGCGTAGTCGTCAGGCCGCGCAAGACCGGCGGCAAGTTTTGCCGCCCGGAAAGGCCGGGGCCATAGAGGGACGCAGCATTCGAAGTGAAGGAAAAAGTAAGCTCTCTAGTCTGGCAACCCCTCGGCCGGTTTATATGGTTCCGAAATTGCCACCTTGCTGATGATGGATGTTGACGAGGTCGTTCTCTTACCACCAAGGTCATATCAACAAGCCGATGACCACACCAAGTGAGGATCCCTTAGACCATTCAGCCGGCCGACTGGGGCCATGGATGGTCAAGCAGTCTCGCACTATAAGTTCATTGTCTGGAGACAGGCTGGCTAGTGTCAGATAGGATTCCTGAGGGTTTGGGGGTTCGCCACGACTCACGCGGCAGCTACGGAGGGCAGCCGTCAAGATGGAGGGAGAGGGCTTTATATACACCTAGTCATCGACGCCATCGACCACTGATTTCACATGATCCCAGGCCAAACCCCTCCTACGTGGCTGGATTTCATCTGGCATGTCAGTTCTATGCTTGGCGAACAGCGACAGAAAGGGGCTGGTTGCCTGGTATTGAGTCACCAACCCTGAAGATCTTGCAGTCACAAGACGAACAGCCTGCAAGGCAACAGCAAGTCTCCAAGGGGCAAGATGTACATTGCAAGGGGAAAGGCGGTGACTAACTCACCCGCGTCGCAAAAGAAAGAGTCAGCTTCCACTCCGAAACATGAAGGCTGCTGGTGATACCACAGGTTCAGAGTTCGGGAGCCTATGGTTGCATATCTTCGTGTCAAAACGAAACCCCCAGCAGGCGATGATACGCGGAACAGCCATGCCCATCCGACACAGCTTTTGAGTCGGACGACAGGAATTGTAGGGCCAGGATGAGGATAGGAAGAGGAATAAGCAGGCTTCTATATCCTACAAGCAGGCTTCAAGAGTTTCCCAAGAACGTATCATTTATTGTGTGACCGATGTTTGTGGGTGGTGATGCCGCAACCGGCCGGAGGGCTTCGTGAGGTGCCCCGACCCAGGCAAGCCAGGTACCCTAGGTACCTAGTATCTGTAGGGCACCTAAGGTGAGGTAAAGCAAGGATGAGCCACGGTCACTAGCCGATCCCATTGCCCGACCCGTGCATTTTGTTGTCAAGAACCTTGTGCATTCAGTTCACGTCAATGTGTTCGATCAAGGAACTTCAGACAGTCCTCTCAGACTTGATGCCTGTGATACCCTGTGTAGTGTTTCGCCATCCGTTGGGGCTGCCTACGCTGCCGGTGTGACTCAGCTGGAGATGCTGAATGGGCGACCATCCCATGCTTGGAGGCATAGACGCTCTCCTTTCAACAAGATGAGAACTGTTGAGTTCTCAGCATCTTCACTGCCTCGTCAGAATACTGAATACTCACCATTTGCACACCTTGATTTACTTCATTTACGAATTCCTGGCGCCCAATCGCATTTGCGTGTTACCCCAGGAAACTAATCTGCTGAATCACTAATCGCGACGAGGCAACCACACCCCATGATGAAGCACACTTCCAAGCCTATACAGCTTGATGGTAGAACCGGAGAGGGTGGTGGCCAGATTCTACGTGTGGCCGTCGCGCTCGCAGCCGTTACGTCGCAGCCGGTGACAGTATCCGAAATCAGGGGAAATCGTAGTCGTGGAGGTGGCAAGTAACCTCCCATTTCCGCTAGCTGCTGGCTCTGCTTTCAAGCAAGTAGGAGTATGAGGCCGAAGCGCGAGATCTAATCCTGACACTGTCCAGGTCTAAAGTCGCAGCACGCCACCTCCATCCAGTACCTGGCCGCTGCAACAGCTGCCACCACTACGAGCTTGGCCGTCGGCGCGAGATGCCTCACTTTCTCCCCGACCCTGCCACCAGCCGCCCTCGCACAGCGTCACATTACCATCACTCCCGAGTCGCCCGGCGCCAGCGCCCTCCTCATCCTCCAGGCCCTGCTGCCTTTCCTCATCTTCGCCGCTGGCGACCCCATCACCCTCGACATCGCCGCCGGCACCAACGTCAGCTTCTCCCTCTCCTGGGACTACGCCGACCAGGTCCTCCTCCCGGCTCTCGAGTCCCGCTTCGGCATCAGCGTAACGCGCACGCTGATCCGGCGCGGCTGGTCCCTCGGACCCCCGACCCGCGGCGCCATCCACTTCGGCATCACGCCCCTGGTAAAGGGCGAGAAGCTGCGCCCGCGCCAGCAGCAGCCGCCCGAGCACGCAGGAGCGTGCCGGGGCGTCACAGCCGTCGATGTCACGATCCTAGCGCCGCGCCATCTGCATGAGGACCTGCAGGCGAGGCTGGCCGAGCAGGTCAGCAGCCGCCTGCCCGCTTCCGAGGTCGTCTTCCGCACCGTGGAGGACTCGGGCTACGATGCGCGCGTCTACGTGCTCCTCGTGGCGCGGTCGGCTGGCGGCCTGCGTTGGGGGCGGGATGTGCTCACGTCGACGCCCAAGGGGGGCAAAAGCAAGGGGCGGTCGAGGGCCAAGGAGGGGGGCTTTCCGACGGCACTTTCCAGGAAGCTGGCGGTGGAGCTAGTGCGCGAGGTCGAGCGGCCTGGCGGCTGCGATGAGTACTTGCAGGATCAGCTCGTTGTGTTCCAGGCACTTGCCGAGGGGCAAACAGTCATCCGAAGAGACGATGCCCCAGCGGAGGGAGAGTCGCCAATGGTGCAAGCTGCGCAGGCGATCGAGGGGCTCGAGCTTGGAGATCGGCGGAGGAGAGACAAGGCGACCGAGCCCTTCGGGCAGGGAAGCTTGCACTCGCAAACGGCAAGATGGGTCGCCTCAGAAATGCTGCCAGCCGTCAAGTGGTACAACAAGGGAACAATCTGTGAAGGGGCAGGGGTGAGTTCCAAAATCAGCAGCTCGTGAGAAAACAAGACATTTGAGAGAAAACAAGACCTCTGAATGTACAACTCCCGGCGAGCCACGTTTGTATTCGACAATTAGATGTATGTTCAATGTACACATATTTTCACTCAACCTGGTCATCTCGGAGTGCCCACGCTCCAATACTCCTCTCTTCGGGGACGCACTTCCACGAGCAGCCCATCCGCATGAACGGCACGCCCTGCTCGTCTGGGTCCGAGCACCACGGAACAAACGTCGCGCCTTGTCCTTCGAGCGTCGGCGTCGACAGCGCCCTAACTTGTGACACGCGCCACCACTCCAGCCATTGTGTGGAGGGCATGACCAGTGTCTTCTTGCACCTTGTGCACTCATACCCACCAATGCTCCTCTGCATCATCGCACGGTCAAGCAAGTCCCTCATGTGGGGCGGACTTTCCGGAAGATAGTGTCTCAACTCCTCCAGATCGGAACTCCGGTAGCAGCTCCGTGCCGCCAGCTCCAGGAGGCTGGGCACGCGAGTCGCTTTTGAAGTGTCGATGCTCCTGCCTGTTGATTTTGACTGGTACGGCGCCGAGGATGGCGGACATGCTGAGATCGTGTCGACTTTGGATTCGTCGACTTGAACGATGCCCTCATCATGGTCGTCCAAGCGGAAGTCAGAGTATATGAAACCCGAGGTATCGGAAAACTGTACCGCGGATCTTGCGAGGTACATGGCACACACGCCCTCGAATTGGGCAGGTATTCTAGTGATCAAGCGGTCTTCTTGCTTCTCGAAGTCGTTTTTTGCTTCATTATCCGGCTCATACGCTGGGTGACGGATGCTGGCGCCATCTGGGATGTCCTGTGGGAGGCCACGCGGCCGGTAAAAGTCGTTGCCTTGCAGTTGCATATTCTTGAGCTTCCCTGGCGCAGCTAGTAGGTTCAGGAGCTCGGCCGGGAGGTGCCTCAATGAGTTTTGAGCAAGATTGAGCGTCTCTAGCTGAGAAAGCTTTGCAACTGCAGCTGGCAGTTCCCGCAGGCCGCAGCCACGCAGGCTGAGCACGGTCAGGTGTTGAAGGTCGAAGATCGCTCCTGGAACGAGAAAAAGAGGATTGCCGAATAGGAAAAGCTTCAGCGAAGGGTCCTTTTGCTCGAATGGAACGTCTTCGGCAACAAGGGGTATTGGGACGAGTTCGGCCAGAGGTGCGATGGTCGCGTTCGACAGGCTCTCAAGACCCATCATACTGCAAGTGATGAGTAAATCGACCGGATCAACAGGCAATTACGTTCACTCACGACAGATCCACATCCTCATCTCCTTCGTCGAGACATTTCTGAATCTTCTCTTGGGCAAGACGTTCGGTGGCAGACAAGGTTGGCCTCTGAATGGGCGTTCGATTTAGTGGAAGTAGCTTTGGCTGCAGCGGCAAGCTCAACTCCTCGAGCATCTCCTCCCCATCCGTGCTGTCGCTTCCCATCCAGACACCACTGTCGAGTTGTCGTTTGAGGGTTCTCTTCGGCTTTGGCAAAGGTCTGGATTCTTCGACT